TTTCCGCTCTCCGGGCAGACGCTCTACCCGTAAGACCACAGAGAAGGTTCAAACGGCATCAAATTCCTGGAATTTCACCGAGGCATACCCCAACTACATTGTGATTCCACGGTACCAAAATAATTCAGCTGAAACGTATCTATACCTGGGAATATTAAACCAAATATTCCGCAATTGAGCATTGAGAATCATTTTAAACATTAAGTAATTCACAGTAGGTGACAGGTAATTTGAGATAAATACTCAAACACGTGCAGTATACTAAAAATCATTCTCCAGTTTAGCGGTCGTAGTTGGCGACAGCCGGCTTACATAATTACAATGCCAACTCCAACTAATAGCATAAATTGATTCTTCAACAAGTGAAGATTATTCCACAAACATATTTATGTGAACAAATGTTTTTAAACAGCAATCAGTATAAAATATATACATTGGAAGGTGCGTAACCCTGACCTCGAAGTAGGGGGCACGGGGGCCCAGTCATCTAAGGCGCCGCGATTCGCTGTGCAGAGTTGCGTCCCTTAGGCACACCAGAAACATATGATTGTGGGTTCGAATTCCGGTTCGCCCCGATTATGTTTCTAGGTTTGTCAGCACCATACCTGTGCTCGTGAGTTTCACCGAAGTGGTAAACGTCTAAGACCTGCATCACTTTGGGCTTTCCTCCCACATTAAGCTAGCACGCCGTGATATAACTGAAATACTGTTAAAAGCGAATTACGGCGCTTTAGACGACTGGGCCACCCGTGCCCCGAACCCACTCTGAGGATAATAGGACTGACACGAAACAGTATACCGCCCTCTCGTATTTGATCATCTCTGGATAGAGTTAGAGTGTGTGAATACGTGAATGTTGTGTAACGTCATTGTCAGCAAATTCTAATAATATCTTCAAATATTCGAGTCTGGGCTAAGAAAACCAGTGGTCCATAAGCAGCAATCCACATATTGAAACCACCCAATACACATCATGGATGGATCACCGACACGCAAGGCGGACACTGAATCTGCAATGCCCCAGTATAGCAACAAGTAACGTGTGTGTGTTTGCTTGTTGTAAAACGCTGCATTCAGCAATACCAGCTATTGCAACCCGGATCTTCACGAGTCGCATTGTATGTGTGAGTAGTCGAGGCATGTGTACCGTGCTCTGAAATGGAAAGGCTTATAAATACATGTTGGTACACTCGTTTCCAACACAACGTCCGTATTAAACAATGTTTAAGCAATTTTGATAAAAACTGGACTTCATAATGGATAACGATTGCATTTGATTCATATAACATACGGACCCGTGAAGATCCGGGGTAGACTAGACCTTCAGCAACCCATACTTGCCGTAACAGGCGACTATGCTTGTCGTAAGGGGCGACTAATTGGATCGGGTGGTCAGTCTCGCTGACTTGGTTGATGCATGTCATCGTATCCCAATTGCGTGGATCGATGCTCATGATGTCAATCACTGGATTGTCTGGTCAAAACTCGATTATTTACAGACCGCCATTATAAAGCTTGAATATTGCTGAGTGCGACGTTAAACCACAAACAAACATATAACCTACGTGTTTTTTTATGATATAACAATATTTGTACTATTATGTCATTCTTTGACCTATCTTTGGTACTTGGACAGCTATGTTTAGATATCGGATAAGTCTGTATGTTCACAAAGCAGTAAAGTACATACGTTGTGTCGGGTTAAAACTGTAAGCGTCTGAATTATGCATGCTTGTTAACTGATATTTGCAAATAGCGATAACACTTCGCCGCATGGTAAAAATCCACACGCCTATATTCTAGAGCTTTCTGTTTCTTCTAAGAACGCTTTTGAGAACCAGCAGAGTGTTTCAACCTGCTGCTCAATTGAACACAAACGTCCTTGAATACCGAATGCATTCACAAAGGATGAACAAGTAAGTAAGCTATTGAAATGAACTACCAAGTGACGTTACAATACCAGAACAAGACGAGTGAGTGCTGACAACCACGCCTTTCTTGGAACGGAGGCTTCACAAGAGGTGCACCAGGAAGTGAGTCAGCGAAAGACGTTCAACCGGACTAGACAACCAATAGCTGATTGAATGAGCATCGATCCCCACCGTTGCATTGGGATAAGTATACCGCGTTTGTCTGCGGCTCCAATACTGTAAATCTCTGCAGTTATTGCTTAGGACGTGACAATGTCTACATTCCCTTTAAATAATAAATCACTTTGATATAGCATAGCCATTGAAACATTCATTGGTTTATATGTCATGCATTTTTAACAAGGGAATTTTCAATATACCAGCTAGGTATGCTGTAACCGGAACTTAGAATGTTCAACCAGATCATGTTTACCGATTACACGTGTAAATCTTAAATCAGGCTCTAGGAATCGATATACGTGTACATTGTGGTCAGTGGGTTCAGTGCTGAACCAGTTTGAAAATGATCTCGGGTTCATTACACGGTGGTGGCTGACAATGGGAGACAAACCCAAGGTGACACTGGTAGTAGAAGTTTACTGCTTTGGTTATATACAACCCAGGTGCCCAACCCACATATTGAAACCACCCAATACACATCATGGATGGATCACCGACACACAAGGCGGACATGGAATCTGCAAAGCCCGAGTATAGCAACAAGTATGTGTGTGTGTTTGCTTGTTGAACGCCGCATTCAGCAATACAAGCCATTGCAACCCGGATCTTCACGAGTCTCATTGTATGTGTGAGTAGTCGAGGCATGTGTACCGTGCTCTGAAATGGAAAGGCTTATAAATACATGTTGATACACTCGTTTCCTACAGAACGTCCGTATTAAACAATGTTTAAGCAATTTTGATAAAAACTGGACTTCATAATGGATAACGATTGCATTTGATTCATATAACATACGGACCCGTGAAGATCCGGGGTAGAATAGGCCTTCAGCAACCCATACTTGCCGTAACAGGCGACTGTTCTTGTCCTAAGGGGCGACTAATTGGATCGGGTGGTCAGTCTCGCTGACTTGGTTGATGCATGTCATCGTATCCCAATTGCGTGGATCGATGCTCATGATGTCAATCACTGGATTGTCTGGTCAAAACTCGATTATTTACAGACCGCCATTATAAAGCTTGAATATTGCTGAGTGCGACGTTAAACAACAAACAAACATATAACATAGGTGTTTTTTTATGATATAACAATATTTGTACTATTATGTCATTCTTTGACCTATCTTTGGTATTTGGACAACTATGTTTAGATATCGGATAAGTCTGTATGTTCACAAAGCAGTAAAGTACATACGTTGTGTCGGGTTAAAACTGTAAGTGTCTGAATTATGCATGCTTGTTAACTGAGATTTGCAAAAAAAGATAACACTTCGCCGCGCGGTAAAATCCACACGCCTATATTCTAGAGCTTTCTGTTTCTTCTAAGAACGCTTTTGAGAACCAGCAGAGTGTTTCAACCTGCTGCTCAATTGAACACAAACGTAACTGAATACCGAATGCATTCACAAAGGATGAACAAGTAAGCAAGCTATTGAAATGAACCACCAAGTGATGTTACAATACCAGAACAAGACGAGTGAGTGCTGACAACCACGCCTTTCTTGGAACGCATGCTTCACAAGAAGTGCACCAGGAAGTGAGTCAGCGAAAGACGTTCAAGTGGATAAGACCACCAATAGCTGATTGAATGAGCATCGTTCCCCACTGTTGGGATAAGTATTATACTTAAGCTGATAAATTGCGTTTGTCTGCGGCTCCAATACTGTACAATCTCTGCACCCTAAGTGCTAAGGGCGTGACAATGTCTACATTCCCTTTAAATATTAAATCACTTTGATATAGCATAGCCATTGAAACATTTATTGGTTTATATGTCATGCCTTTTTAACAAGGGAATTTTCAGTATCCCAGCTAGGTATGCTGTAACCGGAACTTAGAATGTTCAACCATATCATGTTTACCGATTACACGTGTAAATCTTAAATCAGCCTCTAGGAATTGATTTACGTGTACATTGTGTTCAGTGGGTTAAATCCTGAACCACTTTGAAAATGATCTCGGGTTCATTACACCGTGGTGGCTGACAATGGGAGACACACCCAAAGTGACACTGGTAGTAGAGGTTTGGTTACAACCCAGGTGCACGAGTACCATCGTCTCGGGCTCATTACACGGTGGTGGCTGACAGTGGGAGACACACCCAAAGTGACACTGGTAGTAGAGGTTTGGTTACAACCCAGGTGCACGAGTATCATTATCGAGGCGAATTTGACCTCCACCAGCAGATCCAGGGATGGGAACGAGCCTCGCATCTGCAAGGCAGATTTTGGAGCATCCATCCCAATGGGCCACCTGTGTCCCAAACTCAACACGATGACTAAAATATGTTCTAATCAATTTGAATATTCTCCTTTATGATACCTTATATTTGAAAGCGGAATAAGATCAGATTGGTAAAAAGTAACAAGTTCAGAAATGAACACAATCCTCTTGCATATCAGTCAAACATAAACATATATGAGTGAAACGTCCACTTTTCCATATTGAAAGCTTTTTGAAATATGACACACACCAAGATGACAATGCTCGAGAACACATGCATTTTGAACACATTCAATAATGATTGGTCATTTAGAAGTTTAAAAGCATAATAACTACACCTGGTTAAAATAGTTGTTTTGATATCTTCATCGCGGAAGCAAGTTTTTATAGAAAATATCAAACGTCAATGCAAGATAAATCCACCAAAACAGATTCCATTTGCCGTAAAGGACACAATGGTTGTTTAACACTATATGAATGGACCACTGAAAATCAGTGATGACACCAGGTGTTCGCGAAAAGGGTAAACATGTTCTATCGGTAGCACCAGCAATTCACACAATTTGTATAAGGAGTAAGTATTTATAGCTTGACGCCGCATAACGGTACTCCAGTCATGCGACGGCGGCCTGTAAACAATTCAGACAATCAGGTGATCGATGGACAAGAACATCAAGTGACACAATAGTGCATAATTATAAAGTTTTCTGATTTTATTGAAACTAATACATACATTATGTTAATTTTGAATTACATCTGCTGTGTATACAAGTGCAGAGATTATGCTGCTGATAAATAAAGAAAAACATTTAGGAAATATATTCGTTTTGCAACACATTTGGGGACAGTTTTAATGTCTCGGCACAAACATTTCTTTTATAGTTGATTCAGCATAGATAAGTGGTACTAACCTTATGATGAAACCATTACTGAATGGATTATACTTGTCACCGCCCTTTTGTCGTTATGGCCAATAGAATTTGTTCCATCTGATAATCGAGACTAGTTATTGTCTGGCGTCGACGTTCTATTTTTAAGGTTATTATCGGTGCTAGGTGAATTTTGATCGACGACCCACTCCAAACACTGGTCTCAACCTATGCCGCTTCACCCAATGACTTCGCTAACATCAAAGAGTTCGCTTTCAATCTTACCACGGTAGAATGGAGATAAACGCTGGCCTAAATCTAGAGTCTTGTGGTAAAAGCGTTCTCTCGACAAGCAGAATAAGGACTATGTGTAAACCAATTTCTGGTTTTCCCCGCCGAAGTATTGCTTGAATATTTCCAAAAACGGCGTAAAAACCAACTCACTCATTAAATCTAAAGAGGACGTTGCGGAATTTTGTTTCAGCTTACTTCGGTGAACATATAACAATTGTCGTGTAGGAGTGAGCGAGTTATGATTAACTCAACTACAATCAGCCCAGACAGCGAATGGGACTTCTGCCAAGTCGAATCCACCCAGAACATTTTAGAGAATGTGAAGTCTCCCCAACACTGCGGCCTTCTACATTACCTAGATTGTCAGAAGGGCTGTATTCCTGGCAGAAATCCCGGGTACTCTCCCAATGTCAGTCGACAGATTGGGAGGTACCAAACCTAAGGCACCGAGAACAATGGGGAGTCTGACAACTTGGTACTTGGGATTCACGCGTGACATTTCGTAAGCAAGGTCCGCATACTTGCCATGTTTTCCCTGAATCTTGTCAATCACATTAGTGTCAAAAGGAACAAAAAGGTCAATAATACAAAAGGTTTCATTGGATTTATCAAAGACGACAAGATCAGGTTTGTTGGCCTGGATAGGTCTGAGGCTGTATACGGGCCTATTTCAAAGAATTTCATATTAATCATTTTTCATGACGCCCTGTACATATTTTGGGTCGTAGCATGGATGGACCTCTGTGTCAAAACCACAAGCATGGCGAAGACGGTAATAAAACGATCGAGCCACTACATCATGTGGCGTAAGATATTGTGTTTGTGCCAAAACTGGGTATCCACTGACAATGTGTCGGACAGTCTCCTTAAATTTATTGCCTAATCTATATTTAATATTTACATTTTAGTCAAAATCACACATTGACGGTTTAAAGTGGGACGTGACTGGTCTTAAACAGCAAACAGAAAGTCTTCTGACTCTCTTTTTCAGGCCAGACGACTTCATCCAAACGAAGGACTCCCCTCAACACACTGCACATAAACTCGATTCAGTGGTCGTTCATATACACCCATTTCTGTTCCGTCCAGAAGTACAAATCAACATTGACATTGAGATCATGTCCCATATCCTTGGATCATTTAAGAAAACTTTGGAATGCCTCGTTTTCATCATGAGTCTTGACATGCTTCACAAGAGGATCATCAGACAAATAAATGTGTGCAAAAGTGCACAAAATAATTCTATTACGAAGAGCCCCAACGTTATGATTGGTAAATATAAGCGATTGAGGGAAGAGCGAGGGTGATGGGATCTATTGTCTGACATGATTCTGCGTGTGAGGGCGTCAATACCTTTGTATTGAATTTCTTGTTTCGTCATATCAACAACACCAAAAGAATATGAAAGGACGGGCACAGCTTTAGTATTTGTGGCTTTAACTTCATTGCGAGCGTTCAGCTCTGAACTCCAGATTTTCTTATGTCTGCCCGAAGTTTGCGCTTGATATGGGCATTATGAGGTTTGTCCCCAATCTGCATCCATAAGTACGTGTAGGCCTTACCTTCCACGAGATGGTCAATAACTCCGCCCCCAAGTTAACTGACTGATCTTCCCTCTTCTACCTTGTCACGTTTCAGATGAAGAATGTTGCATAATAATAAAAACAAAACAAATAAAACAAAATATATCTATACGGAAAAGTATAAGGTCTTTAAAAGGCCAGTGTGTAATATAAACCTGGCTTACAGGATGCGATGAATTACGGGTCATTTAGCGGTCATGAACTTATGTTGAAAGTTCATCGCCTTGGATAAAAAAAAGCCTTATATGGGATTTCCCTTAGTTTTCATTTTGCGTTTGTAAATACAGATCACTACGACGACCAATGCAACTGCAACAGCGACGGCCACTCCAAGGCCCACTCCGACCCATATCAAGAAGTTGGTAGCACTACCAGGTGACACAGGCGCAGGCTTACGTTGGGGAATGGTAAGAGACCGCAAGGTGATGGAACGCAGGTTCGACAACTCTGATTGGCGACTGGCTTCGTCGGATGCTTTTAGGCCATAAACATAGAAATCACTTGACCAGTTGCTCGGTAGGCGGACCGTGACCATTTGCTGCGAGCCTGCCGGAAGTGGGTCCATACTTCCAGTTACTAAGTCTTCGTCCTTGACCTTCGAAGCTTGTGTGAAGTTTTCTCTGAGACTTCCAAACGTCACTGCAACCCTCAACTCATATTTTGAAACTGCAATGAACAATTTCAATATGTCATTACGATTTCATAAGATATGGTTAAAATATTGTCAATATGACAATAAAAAAGAATTTATAAACGAAATATTTCATCCTCACCCGTTCCGACATTCAGGTCATCCCCTGGTGCAGTCCAAGACAAGGTCACGGTCTGATTGAGTTTGTTGTGTATAGCAATGTCAAGGTCAGTGACTCGACCTGGATCCAGCTGGTCAACCGTTTCATTATACCCAGATATATCTATGGCATCTGGAGAAGCTGTTCTGCTGAAAGCTTCTACCCTTTCATACCTCACTGGTGGTGTCGTATCTGGATGAAACATTCAAAAAGTTCATCAATATCAGAATTGGTTAAAATGACATTGTCAATAGGACACGTTTACCTACATTTTTTCCTCCTATCGTATATATAAATAAATAAATATATATATATATATATATATATATATATATATATATATATATATATATATATATGGTGAATGAGTTGGTTTTAACCCGCTGTGGACTGATATATATTATTTTTAGGATATTATGTCTAAATACCAGAATCTAGGCTCGAGTCTGGTAAACATAGTTTATTGTGGACTACTGTTGTCTTACAGTCAATGATATGTGTTGCTGGTTACTCTGGTAGATATTGAGTATTACAGCTTATGTTATTACTCGCCCGTTGGAGATAACCCTGTTTAATAACAAAAAGCTCGTATTACAAGTGTTTATTGCCAACGCGCGTGCTTGTGTACTGCGGGAACTATATATGCAGTTTCACTAGAAAATATTGAAAACTCTCAACATCCCTAGGCAACACAATTTCACAAATTACGTCATAGGGTATTGTGACGTGGTTGTAAACCTCATGGTGCAGGAAAGAGGTTCACAAAGTGATCGGAGTCAACGTCAATCGTTACTCCATATTATAGTAAGGGAGCTATGCTTACCATAGCGCTACAATGGTTTTGTGGAACTGCCCCCTGAATGCTAAAGGTAGTCCGCTGTACGGTTTTAAATTAATACGTGTCAACTTTTAACGTGTATGACATATTATTCTGTTAAACTCAATTGGATTATGCTGTGGATTGTGCAGATGTCTGCCTTAATGTCACAAGACATTCCGTGAATACCAAGTTTATGAAACTCGTGAACAGTTTGGTATCTGTTCTTTCGATCGTTAGATACCAGAACTATTCACTTGTTTCTTAAAACTGGTATTACATTGGACTACGGTTATGTTACAGTCAGGGTTATGTGTTGTTCATTAATGAGAAGACTTACTCTGGTAAACAGAGAGTGTTCTGCCAGACAGGGCGGTTCCAGACTTGATGATGACAGTCTGTCCTTCCACCGACTCTACCGTCACCTTCATGGAATAACGGGAGTTGGACTTGAAGCCGAGCAGGTAGTTGCTGTATACACCGTCGTCGGCTGTGTTGTCGGGGACTGTGAAAAAACCGAACCAGCCAGATTAACTCCAACCCAAGAGCAACTGACAAAACGTAAACATCCACATCCCTGTATGAACAGATTTGTCATTTTGTGCCCATTAGTTAAGACATATTGCATTTTTTTCGAAATAAATAAATCACATATTGTTGTTGTTATTAACAATTATATCATACTGCCGCAACACTCATGAAAATAGGGGCACGGGTGGCCCAGTCGTCTAAGGCGCCGCGATTCGCTGTGCAGAGTTGCGTCCTTTGGGCACGCCAGAAACCTATGATTGTGGGTTCGAATCCCGGTTCGCCCCGATTATGTTTCTAGGTTTGTCAGCACCATACCCGTGCTCGTGGGTTTCACCGAAGTGGTAAACGTCTGAGACCTGCATTACTTCGGGTTTTCCTCCCACATTAAGCTGACACGCCGCGATATAACTGGAATATTGTTAAAAGCGGCGTAAAACCCACCTCACTCACTCACACTCATGAAAATAATAAATGAGTTAAATACGTAATGCTCACGTATGCCTTTATCCTTGAGAGTAATATTCAATGTTTCACTCGATCTGGATACCTCGACCTCCACAGAGGCATTGATGATTGGAGCATACCCCTGGTGCACATAGGTGTAAACGACGACTCCATTACCATCTCCGGAAAAGTTGAACGTCTTTGAGCTGGTCCACGTCTCCACCTCGAAGGGTGGGGAGCCAACCCGTGGGTGCGACGTCACCACGGCCGTTATGCTCTCGACCATGTTAGAGATGCGTTTCAATGTATACTTCCATGTCCCCGTCTGAGAGTGAATGAAAATCTTACGATTTCATATCAGAGGCGGATTTTGGCTTTTGACAATGGTGTGTGCGTGCGTGCGAGCGTGCGTGCGTGTGTGTGTGTGTGTGTGTGTGTGTGTGTGTGTGTGTGTGTGTGTGTGTGTGTGTGTGTGTGTGTGTGTGTGATAGTTCAAAGAGGGGGTGAATGGGTTGAAGATGTGGTTGTGCGGGAAACAAATAACATGATTGACTGACACAGACTAGTACTGTTACTTGAAATCCTTAGTCGTTTTTTCTCGTCAGGGTTAAGTTGTTTACCCTCATGAGTTATCATTGGAAGTATGACAATGCCACATATTACTTTTTTTCATCTAAATTTTTCAACATTGCAATCTTCCTCTATTTTCTTTCTGTATCAATCAGAGTGGTTCTTGTAGTGTTGCTCTATAATCACCTTTCAATGGTCGGTCAATTGATCAATGATGACCAACACATGTAACCGCCACAGAATCATTAACAATTTCGGAAATCTCTCCCGTCACGTTTATCGTGTCGGTCATTTTGACGTCTTGTACTTGATGTAAATGTATTACGACGCCATTCTGACTGACTTACTGACCTAGTTCTTCACACACCTTTCTAATCCAATGGTGACATTATTTGAATACATTTCTTGTGATCATAATGCGACAGATTTTTCTGTAGATCATGTTAGAGCGTACATACGACTCACATCCTCTCTCTTTTTTTTGAGGAACTACTTTATTCCGCGACAGAGCTGGTTGTTGTATGTCTGTCAGTGTAAACATGATGTCACACTAGATACTAAAATACAATTGTGTGTAAATCTAGACCTACATCCTCCGAAGGAAAAAATAGTGACATAAAATACTAAAAAAATAATAAGCCCCGACGTTCATACAGTGTTGCCCTCACTCAGGTTAATGTTCCAATGAACTCACACAGAGTGAGTGAGTGAGTTGGGTTAAACGCTGCTTTTAATATTATTCAAGTTATATCGCGGCGTGTCAGCTTAAATTTGGGAGGAAGGCCCGAAGTGATGTAGGTCTCAGACGTTTACCACTTCGGTGAAACCCACGAGCACGGGTATGGTGCTGACAAAGCTAGAAACATAATCGGGGCGAAGCGGAATTCGAACCCACAATCAGGTTTCTGGCGTGCCCAAGGGACGCAACTCTGCACAGCGAATCGCGGCGCCTTAGACGTCTGGGCCACCCATGCCCCCCACACTGAGTGAAAGACAATTCTTAAACATCATAATTTGTAATATTATGTTAACTTTCAAGATGGCTTTGTGTAGATTTTATATCCCATAGCAATTATGAAAAAAAAGCAGGGCCAATGTTCAGATGGTATTACATACATTTGTGCAATACATATGGCTATACGTATACATACTCTTACCTTGGTTAATGGGAAAAGGAATCTCCTAATGTTTAGTGCCTCATCCTTGTTGTATTCAGATGAATCCGAATTGTAAACGGCCTCATCTGGATCTTCAATACTGATCTATGGTGACATTACATTTTTGGTGAATAACATATCCACATCAAACATATGCACTGAGTGGGCCTTCGCACGGAGTAACGAGCAGGCGAGGTTTAAAAAACAGGTCAACTCTATGTCCTCGGAAATATCAAAACAAATATCAAGTCAACCATAAGTCGAGACAAGCAGAGTGCCCACATTAGGACAAAGTATCAGTGGGATTCTGTCTGAAACCATAAGCTGTTAAGGTCGGTTAAAACGTTTCGTCGAGTTGATGGACTTTGAGTTCATGAAGTTTCACTGTAAGTACTATGAACATACAACAGTACAACTGGCTTAAGAGCAGGAACAAAAGAAAGAATTTGGGTTTAGCAGTACTGAATTATCAAGAAGGTATTTTGGCATTTCATTGATAGGTTTGGCTTGCTTGGATAACATGACAATCATTAGTAACGCTACACGGCTGTGTGTAAGACAGTCACGTTTGTCACAAGTATAAGTACCTCTGTTCCCGCACCATGCGACAACGTAAAGATGAAACGTGTGTTGTTACCGACGGTGGAGTCAATCAGAACCTCTCTGTTGAATGTCGTCTGTGTTGACGTCAGGACTATGGCACGGCGATCAATCTGGGTACAAGATTTCGAGGAATTAGGAAACTTAAAGTATGGAATACCAGTGAATGTTCTTAAACGCCAAAGTCAGCAATTTGCTAGCGACATAATATCGGACTGTGGGCAAACCAGTGACAGCACACACAACAATCCACGCCATCGGGCAATAATGCCGTAATCAACCAGGTCAGATATTGCAGCCTACCCTCCATCATTAATCGGCACTTATCACAAGCATCAAATATCAGGGTCTTTTTCTGCCAGAATCGGCACCGGCCATGGTCTACTTAAATGGACACACATTTGAGAAAAAAACACCTAACCGGAACAAATGTAAGGAACTAAACTATTCACGTAAAGTATTGGGTAATTGAAGTACCTCTATGTCGTCGTCGTCCTCTTCACAGAGACTGACGTCTTTCAGCAGCCTCTCCGCTGCTCCCTCAAGGGCTGTCGAAGTGGAACTCTCGTCAAAGAAGGAATACTGGCCTCCTGTCGCATACAGAAATGGCACTGTAACCCTAATATCAAGATTATCCAGAATCCTAACAAAGAATGAATACTGGCCTCCTGTCGCATACAAAAATGGCGCTGTAACCCTAATATCAAGATTGTCCAGAATCCTAACAAAGAAGGAATACTGGCTGCATTTTAGGAATACAACAATGACACTGTAACCGTTATTTTCAAGTAGCAAAGAGGGAACACTAACCAACCATATACAACAGAATGTGACACTGTTACCATTCCAGTCAAGTTAATATCCCTGCTTACCTGTCGTTGTTGATAGTCGCTGTAGGACTTTGGCGGCAGCATCACTGTAGGCCATTGTATGAATCACAACCTTCGAGCTCACAATTTCGGAAAAAATTGTATTCACATACGGGCTTAGAGTTTCCTCTCCGTCAGTGATGAGGAATATTCGTCCATTCTCTGCCGATTTCCCATTTGCTTTTAGCAACTAGATATCAAAACAGTCAGAACGTATAACCATTGCTTGTCTGTTGTTAATGCTGCAAACTGCAATGTCCTTGTAATGACTCAACATCCTGTAAATATTGACTGAGATTGATATGAGGAACACCAAAAGCGTCAGGGTACGATGACTTGCAATCAATCAAGTCACAGAGCATGATCACCCCGCCCATTTTGGGACGTATGAGTGAGTGAGGGAGATGGGTTTAACGCCGCTTTTAACAGTATTCCATTTATATCACGGCATGACAGCTTAAATTTGGGAGGAAAGTCCGAAGTGATGCAGGTCTCATGATCAGATGTTTACCCCTTCGGTGAAACCCACGAGCTCGGGTATGGTGCTGACAAACCTAGAAACATAATCGGGGCGAACCGGGATTCGAATCCACGAGCATAGGTTTCTGGCATGCCCAAGGGACGCAATTCTGCAAAGCAAATCACGGCGCCTTAGACGACTGGGCCTACTGTGCACCCTCTTCACGTATGACAAACACAATTCATTATGTTATTGGGCACCATGGCTAACTGTAATTGGGAATCTTAAATTAACTTAAATTAAAGCCCGAAGAAATTTCAATGTAACAGTGGATCTAGGCAAACGCAAAAATGTTATCTTGACGCAGGGAAAGAAGAAGGGCGTTTCGAGTCTTAGGGACAAAGTGAATATCTCAAGTACACAGCCTGCGACTATTTACAGTCCCACACTGTATCATATGCAATGACATTTGACCACATTCACGGGTTACCACAGGCAGAACAGGGAAAACGTTGGTGTGATATACACTTCCATAGAGTATTCTACTATCTGGAAAAACTGGACATCATTGCCAATAAAAAGTCAACGATAGTTACCAGTCTGGCAGCTGACTCGAAAGGTAACCCTGATATGCCGTGTCATACACGATTGTAGTAGACCGGACGAGTCATGTGTGACTTATCACGTCATTAAGAACTCTGTTACCACCAGGGGATAATGTTGCAAAACTCGAGTTAAAGAATGCGCACAGAAACTCACTTATTAACGTTATAAACAGTTCCACAGAATTTTGAGTCATCCGGTTTGAGAAAAAACATGCCAATTAATATAGACGTGTATAGTCCTACTTAGGGAGAAAATGTCTCTAGTTCTCTAAACAACAAAGTTATGGACAGTTCCAGAATGAAGATGTAATTTTCAAGTTTAAGTTTCATGCCAGATGTAAGCATGCATGTATACGTATACTAATAGAACAGTCTATTCTCTCCAGACACAGACCGACTCCGTGGTCTAGAGGTTGAGCGTCCGCCCGGAGAGTGGAAGGTCCAGGGTTCGATCCCCGGCCGCCTCATACCAAAAGACGTTAAACGATGGAACACGTTACCCTGTCTGGCTCTGCATTAAGGGGCTAAATCGGCTCGGAGTCAGTATACTGTGTCTGAGTGGTGTATTCATGTTAAACTGCGGCATGGTAACTCAGTGGGCTGGCACTATAAATCGGCATTCGTCCTATATATGCACGACGCTATATAAGTGCAATAATCCCCATTTCACCTCACCTCTCCAGACACATGTAGTTTAAGATTGAATGAAGACTTACTTTGATTCTAGAGTGAGCTATGTTAGCCAAATGTCAAAAAAGAAATTATGGCCCCTTCAATATCCAGTCTGCGTGCTTAAAAACGCATTTATATTGAGTCGCATTCTGGCAAGGGGTCATCAGTCGCACTAATTTGGAGATGCATTAATTTCAAGATTTACAGCACATAAGTGTACTAACCAGAAGGTTCAGTAACCTCTTTGAAAAGGATGTATAATAATCCCTGATATCTTCAATCCAAGATGGACGCCAAACCATGCGATCTCTAGCTATATTTTTTATAGATTTCCCTGAGGTCCACATAGACGCATAGAAATATAGAATGTTTGCACCTATTATCACGAGTGGTTTGGAGAATATCTTTGAAGGAACAAAATTACTAAAAATTGAATTCGAGATGGCCACAAACTGATGCCGCGTAACCGCGTGACCAAATGCAATTATTTTCTTAAACTTGATTTAGGTTATAATGCGTATTAGTTCAACTTTTTCTGGCCTTGTTCTGAAAATGATTGTCCAATATTTTTCGGAAATTTAAAAAGTGGGTTATATAGTAGGCATATAATCAAATAAAAAGGTCGTATAATTTATTGGCATTCATAGGAATCTGCTTTGGTTGGAATCATACCTTGGGTTCTGGAGTGAGCTATTTCAGCCAAATGTTAAAAATCGGAAGTTATGGCCTCTTCAGTGTCCAGCCTAAATGCCTGGGATTACCATATGCTTTCACCAGCACAGAACGTGTAAAGTCAGTAGGTACAGCCGTTACATCCGTGGAGCTCCCATGAAGTCATCCGGAATATTATAAATTACCTTAAATCCTTAAATCTTCAAATAAAAAGACGTGATGTAATATGGTGTGTTGAGGCTACTCGTACTAGTCAGGACTGAAGCCTTTTTAAAAGTGCCAGCCCACTGAGACACCATGCTGCAGTTTTAAAAGATACCCCACCCAGTATACTGACTTTGAGCCGACCAGTCCTTGTTCTGTCCTCTTAATACCGAAAGCCAGGCAGGGTAACAACAAGTACCATCTTTTAATGTCTTTTGGTATCGAGCAGCCTGGGATCAAACCACCAACCTTCCTCGCTCCGGGCTGACGCTCTATCCACCAGACCACGTGCACGGTGGCGGCCCAAAGAAAAAATGATACGTGTGCTTCTAAAAAAAAGAAAGGTTATGATCACAAGTATTTTCGAATAGTGTTGTCTCAAAGGTAAACTCGTGTGGTATTCCTTTTTTGAATTCTGGCTAGGAGTATGATAAATGATGTCCAGTTTAACGGTTATGACAATCTAATATACTTCTTCGCCTAGGTACCTTAATGGCCTCTTTAAGACCTAATCCAATAGCTGTGTTACCACCGTAGTCCCTCAGGTTTGGCAACTTCAGGGCCAGCTCCTCTCTGTCTGCTGGAGATGCGATGACTCGCATGTTGGCCAAGACTCTGGCGTAACTGGCGAACACCACGATCCCCACTTCTGTACCCACAGGTAGAATATCCCTGATGATTTGGTCAGCCATTTGACTCAGTCTGAAGTGTCTGGAATTCTGTCAGAGTCACGGCGTAATGGGGGTCAATATTGAAGTGGTTGTAATGTTGAGACATACTTGTCATGGTGACAGACAAAAAGACAATTTACACGGAAACTCCACTAAATAGCGTAGGGACCCACAATTGCATTTGTAGCATCAAATAATTACCCTTCGCTTGTCTTGTACATTATCTTTCCCTTTTTCCACCTTCGTCTCGTAAATTGTAATTGTAAATCCACAATTATTATTGAACGATATAATATTGCGCGAATTTAGTTGTTCACACGGTGTTACGCAGTTAGTAGTAAGATATTCTTCAATAAAATTTCCTCGGAAATGGTGTATATCAAATGTTTGATTACCTCTCTCATCGACCCCGAGAGATCTAGGACAAGAACAATTCTACGTCCACAGATGGTTGTGTTGCCGACTGTCTGTCTCTGGCGGTAGACAACTTTGAACTGCGCACGTGGGGGTCGGTCCCCAATGTCAGCAGGGTTACGCCCCTGTATGTCTGGGTGTTCCTTGATGATGTCCCACGTTCCCTTTTCCTTGCACATTTTGTTCTGCCTGTTTGGAGCATTAGGGTTATGTTTCAAGTCCATCCTACCACTGTCAGGGTTACTTTCACAGAAGTGAACCACCTAGAATACAAACAAAATGGTTTTCTTTAATAGTATGGCGGAGGTATTATGATATTTGTTAATTGAATTTTATTAATATTTAAAGTTAAAGAAAGTAAAAACAACTACTGCATACTCTCGACGTCATTGTTTATAGTAACATACCAAGTGCAATTGTTTCCGCCGCTCCTTGGCTTGCAAAATATGCAGGAATACTAACGGAATACTAAAAGGCAATAACTAATATTTATTGTTTAATTCCACGCTCGTCAACATTCCAGTTAAATGACGCCCGCCTGTATATAATCGAATCTTGACAAACCAAACCAGTTACTTTTACGATGAGCAATGTCCCGCACGGTCTGGATAGATGACTCGCAATCAACTAAGTCACCGTGCCTGGCCATCCGTTCCGTTTAGTTACCTCATACAATAAACATTGGTTGCTGGAGACCCATGTTAACCGTGATTCTCACTGCTTAAAACCCTCGTGAAATTGCTTTCGCAAACAATTGAAAAATCTGTGCAAAATCAAAACAAGGTAATTTGATCAAGAAGTTTAACTTAGGCTTCAGGTGTATCGATGATCTGATATCGTTCGATAACAATCAAATAGCCAAATCCCTTCCACTGATTTACCCACCTAAACTAGAAATAAAGGAGACCAGCGAGACCGCCTCATCTATTTCATATTCAGATCTATGCATAAAGATTCAGAGTGACAAAACAAGGCTGTATGACAAGAGGGATGACTTCAGCTTTCCAATGGTCAACTCTCCCTTCATGTCGAGCAATATTCTAGCAGCTCCCGCCTTTGGTGTTTACATTTCGCAACGTTTGAGATCAATCAAGCATGCTCTTTCTACCAAGATTTCAAAGAGCGCCTTACGACTCTTGCTCAGAATCGGTTTGATCACGGTTACAACGTTCAAGGCCTCAGTAAAACTTTCCAAAGGTTTTATTGTAGTGAGTGAGTAAGTGAGTATGGTTTTACGCCGCTTTTAGCAATATTCCAGCAATGTCACGGCGGGGGACACCAGAAATGGGCTTCACAAATTGTACCCATGTCGGGAATCGAACCCGGGTCTTCGGCGTGACGAGCGAACGCTTTAACCACTAGGCCACCCGACCGGCCGGTTTTATGGTAGACATGTGGATGGCATTTCCACATTTGACCCATTTGTGTCAAAAATGGTGTCCGATGTAATCCCATATTTTGACTTATACCATATGTTCCCATGTTTTTTCAAGTGAGCAATTGACTTGCCTTTGCATGTGTTTGTTATGGGTGCGCGAACACCTAGTATCATTACTGTTTGATAGTGGTTCATTAATACATGCTCATGATATACTTGGGATTGTACATTAGACTCTGCTTTATGCAGAGATTTCTATTGGATATGGAAAGTGTTTCGTCGCTATTTTTTTAACGTGAGTGAGTGAATGGGTTGAGTTTAACGCCGCTTTAAACAATATTCCAGTTATATCGCGGCGTTATCTGGAGCGTGAGCAAATATATCTTATCAAGAATCAGAAAAGAAACCAGCACGTATACCTCCTTCAAGAACTGGGCATACATGACAGATGACGTTGCCTTGTTGTTGTAGGCGCTTGGGAGAAAGACACAGTCCTTATTCAACACCTCCGTATTGTCCATAGGTTCGCAAGCCGAGTCTTTAACTTCATTGATGAAGTCACCTTTGATGTCGGTGGAGCAGGCAGTGGGACGTAGATACAGTTCAGAGTCTTCAACATAATAGACTGGATGCTGGCTGCTTTGACGGATGCCGTACTCGTCGAACACACCAAACCTAAGATGGGCGAACTCGTGCACCAGAACACGGCCTAGTTGTTGGAAAACAAAACGGTAAAAATGAATTAAGAAGATAATTTATGGATGTTAACTTTTTTATTTTGAGAAAATACTGATATGTTATCTTTGAATTACACATGCTGTGTACAAGTGTACAGGTGTAGAGAAAAACGTTTAAGAAATATGTGACGGGGGTTAAGTACGTTTTTCATAATCTAATTTAAAGATAACAAGGTTTGCGCACTACAGGTAATAGATTAAATAGTTACGCTAAAAACGAATGAAGCACATTTTGGATTTATCGCCCTTTTGGTATTACATAACTAATATTTGTATTATTAATTAACGTGTACAGTGACTACGTGAGAGCTTTGAACGCTGGTCAACACCAGTGTCGGGAATGTCAGTGTGTCATATCGAGTCTCAACCAGACAAATTAGTGTATATCTTGATAACAATACGAATGATCAAAGCCGTTGAGGTCCCAATACAGTAATTCAGTCAGTCCGACTCTCATTTGAATTACCTATTACAAGCATGGGTCATGTGAACCTAGCATGATCCGGTATCAGTACAGTTGATATGAGTGCCCTCGGTGATTGTGAGATTGGGGTATAGCCTGATCCGTCCATTATACACTGAACCAAATTAAAAACCTCACAATCCTAAAATTTAAACATTTTGACCAGTTATCTTTGTGGGCCGTTATTGTGTATTTAAACTGTAATGGCCACGTACTGTCTTCAGATAACACCCGTTTTTGTGCAGGTGAATCGATCAAAATCATGTGCACAGCACTATAGAGGCAAAAGTGGTTTTCACGTGCAACTGGTCACGTGGCCATAATACCGCACGTGTTTTCAGCCATACTTGTTAGCAGTCATTAACAAAAAAAGAAAAACACAAGAAAACAAAAGTCTTTACGGCCATTTGTCATGCAACGCCTTTCAAATGTGCAACGTGAACGTGCCATCGGCATGTTGCAGACGGGAACGTCCGTAGCTGAAGTCGCAAGGACGATGGGTTGTAGTCGACGGACTGTCTATGATGTACCGACGCGTCTACAGCAAACGGGTACCACCGCTGATCGCCCTCGGCCAGGTCGACCACGTATAACGTCACATGCAGAGGATCGTCAGATTGTCTTACGTCACCTCCGTAACCGATTTTTGACGGCTACACCGAGAACAGCTCACCACCAAGCACGACGGCCATACTGCGGGCCGATTCTGACTCAATTACACAGACGTCAACGTCAATTGTGGGCACAGCGACACTTACGATGGACTCAGAGGAACTGGAATCAAGTCGTCTTCAGTGATGAATCCCGATTTAATCTTCGATTTGCTGATGGTAGGGTGAGGGTGTGGAGGCGCCGTCATGAACGTTACGTCCAGTGTTGTGAACAGGAAGTTGACAGATTTCGAGGCGGAAGTGTCATGGTGTGGGGTGCTTTCTGTGGCAATGCACGTTCAAGGCTTCTTGTCATCCATGGCAACATCAACGCTGCTGCTTACCGCGACCAGGTACTGGCACCAGAACTTCTGCCTTTTATGGCAGCACATGGACCCGCTTTGATCTTCCAACACGACAATGCCAGACACCACACAGCAATTTTGACAAGGAATTTCCTTCAGAATGCGGGAGTCAACGTCATGGACCGGCCGTCAAGGTCTCCCGACCTCAATCCCATCGAACACGTATGGGATGCTCTTGGCAGAAGTCTGCGCACTCTCCAGAACCAACCACAGAATTTGCCAGGTCTTGGCACCATTTTGCAGCAACAATGGCGTCGTCTTCCCAATCATTACTTCACAAGCATCACAAGGTCCATGCGGAGGCGTTGTGTGGCAGTTGTCAACGCACATGGTGGCCATACACGCTACTGAACTTGTGTGCCATCAAATTCTCGCGCTTGGGACTATGATTTAAACTGTTGATGTTATTACCGAATACCGTAGGTGCTTGTAACAAATTATGGTTACCACCGTTAAGTAAAATCCTTCTTTGGACATTAATGATTAAAAATTACCTTCTCTGATACATTTGTCCGTTGTGTATCCTATATGGGATTACTTTTAAAAATTTGAAGTTTTTAATTTGACTCAGTATATAATGGTTGTCTGGGGGTAACAACCCACCCACCTGCATCCCCGTAGTTGATGTCGCGGTCGTTGTCTTTGTCCAGCACAAAGTCGGACGTCAGAAGGATGTAGCGTCCCGGGTCCCCACACTGCCCGGGTTGGAACGTGTAGGGAGTATTGCCCTATAAATGTTATGAAGAACAACTGTATCTTAACTGCATAGTTGCATTGGCAATGAAAAACTACAATATGCAACTTACATACGAGACATTGTTCATGTAAATAATTCTTTTGAAAAGAATAAAGAATAAAATCCCGTTTGACTTGAGATTTTACATATATGTACATGAATTGTATGTAAATGTCTTCCAATGTCTTTGAGGAGTGGCGCCAGTAGAACACTCGTTCAACCATATACTTGCATCCTAGCACTATCCTTGTGTCTTCAGACAAGGTATGATAATAACTGTTTAGCAAGGCAAAAACGACAAACATAATCCCCGTATCACCATTGTGCAGAGGCATAACTCTGACATCATGTCTATCTAAACTATCAGATTATGTCTATCTGAACTATTAGATTATGTCTATCTGAACTATTGGATTATGTATATCTGAACTATTAGATTTCAACATTTTAAGAACAGAAAAATATACATCCATTAACCTCCCACTCTTCTTTTACAATTTGGTTTCAGAAAATCACAGGGAGCAATCATATCTGTATCTGTAAGAATCTGTTAATTTCTACCATGAAAGAGAATCGCATGTGTTTGCTGCACGTTTAGAAGATGAGGAAGACGAAAAGGCTTCGATAGTTGTCAAGTTGCATGACCTTTGTGTCAAGGGCAAATTATGGAATCTACTTGTTCATAGCTGTACGGGAAACTGGGCACAAAAGAATCGAATGAATGTAACCATTGGGAGCTACATTGCTATGACTATGATTACCATATTATACTGCACTGTGGATCTTTTATGTCTGACAGAAATAATTCCTTTTCATCTCTGATAAACTTGATGTTGATGTACATGTGAAATTGCATATGATGATATGTTTTCACCGTTTCTTGTGGCAGATGTTCATGATTTATCTGACGAAAATGATGTCGCTATTTGGGAATAAATTATATTGTCTTTTTGCTAATTTGTTTTGAGTTTAAAGAGACAAACACCCTACTGCTTACAGATTGTACATTGTAAATTATGTATTCGTTGCCACAGTATCACTTTCTTCTATGTCTAAACTCAAGTAATGTAAATAACATACTGTATGATCTTCGGTTTCAACAATGGATGAAATTAATTAATTAATTCATTAATTAATTCATTCATTCATTCATTTATTCATTCATTCATTCTTGCACATGCTTGTTCATTACCTGGCTGTTCCATGAGCGACTGGTCCTCCCTGGTATGGGATGGCCAAAAATGTCAACAATATGATGATCGTTTGTTAAACAATTTTTTTATTCGGGTGTCCAAAATTATGAGACAAACCATCAGAGTTGGTCTGTCCAATCCATGTCGCTGTGCACAATTTGGTTTTGTTGCAATTATTAGATTTTGAGTTAGTGAGCAATTCATCGGTCTCAAATGGAATCAAACGGACTGTAGATAACATTGTTTTTCTGATTTATCATGATTATTATTCTTTTAACGGCTGAGTGATCAGGGCTGATTAGGGCGTGATGCATGCAGTCGAGATCCATAACTACAACGTGTCAATCGATTCACACAGTCGGGTTCTATTATATACTATGTCACAATCGATGTCGGAATCCATGACATACTACGTCACAATCGATGGTTTGCATCAATAATGTAACAACTGCTTCATTGTTTAACTACAGTATCTAAATAGCCCAACCAAAACACAGCAACACCTCAACACTGTATGAGAGAAGATAACGGTAATGCTATCGAAAAGAGCAATATATACCATTAATATTGAGAGTAGATTGTTTTGTTGTGTATAGTTTTAGAGATGCACAAATTTCTCACTTTAAATGGAAACAAAATGTATATATTTAGCGATGACAATGACAAATATGATATGTCAATCCTTAAATAGATAATAGTGCTGTTGTAGTACCTGTACAGGATGGGGCGAATCCACTCTGACATCTGCATCAGTAAAGGTTATCTCCCCTTCCAGCTCCCAAGCTGGATCTCTGGTCCACGTGTCTGGTACTAAGATGGTCACATTTCGTATGTAGGTGTACTTCCGGGTTGTAGTGTACAGGTAGTCCGAGGCAGAGGTAAACATACTCTACAAAAACCAAAACATAAGAATAAACAAAATGAAATGACTTAAGGAACTAACGGAAAATTATATTCCTTGATCATAAGGTCCATAGGTAATTTGTCACTATCTTCAACTGTTCAAGCCAATTAGTCATAACTGAAAGCAAATACCATCTGCAATTCACTGAGAAAACAATAGGTGAAATGCTCGACCAAGGAGAGGCTGCAACTTGGAGATGGCACATTTAGGCAAGGAGTAGGTGTCTCCATAATCACCTATAGGGCCCCGGTCGTTGCTGAACTGCTCTTTATGCATAATTTGTTTATGAATCGGAAGTTCTGCTCGGATTGGCAAAATTGAAACACTGAATTTGGTCAAGAAGTTAAGCTTCAGGTATATCGATGATCTGATATCGTTCAATAATTGTCAAATAGGCAATACCCTTCCACTGATTTACCCATCTGAACTATAAATAAAGGGAACCAGTGAGACCGGTTTATCTGTTTCATATTTAAATGTTTATGCATAAAGAACCAGATTTGCACAAGATTGACAAGAGGGATAAATTTAAAACTTCAGGCAGCACCTGTTTCCACATTTAGAACTATGCATAGATACACAGTGACAATGAAGTATCTCAAAGAATGACTTTAACTGTCCAATAGTGAAATTTCCCTCTACATTCCAACAACTCCAGCTTTCCGTGTCTACCTCTCACAGCTGTTACGCTGTTACGTCCTTTACTCTCCAACTTGATATACAATCACGGCAGCCGTAGAAACCGTTTCGCCTTGTGACCTTACTTTGACCAACACCTGTGATGTCAGTCTTTGTGAACATGATCTTATATCTTCTTTGATAGGCATTTAGAAGTTGGAGTACTAAGTAAGGATAAGAATCTATGGATGAACAACTTCTTTACTACAATTAAGAGCGACGTTTCAGTGTAAGTTTTAACACCGTTATCAAGCAAGTGGATGGTCAGGATCAACGATAAAACAATTGCTTCATTGTTTAACTACGGTATCTAAATATCCCAACAAAAACCCAGCAACTCCTCAACACTGTATGATAACGGCATTAGAACATACACCGATCCATAGATTCTTATTATTACATGGTCTTATATGCTTGTCTCTAAGAAGTTTGCAATGCACATATCCTCGAGTATCAATATTCAACGAACCTGTAGCTCTGTGATCATGCGAGGCTCCTGGGCAACATTTCTGTTGATGGCCACCAGTAGATCGTATCCATTGTCTTCATACGTGACGGCCACAACATCAGCCCCGGTGCACAACATCAACATCAACACTGTCCAACGTATCCGACCCTGTACTCTCATGTCTCTATGATCAAATGTTGGTCTGCTGTATCCCTGTGTCATTCAAGGCCTCCTCGTCTGTGTCGGTGTGTCGCCGATCTTTCACGCCTTGTGATGATGCCTTCCTAATTTATATACTATGCAGCTCACGGTTACAATGGGAAGGGCATTTTTATCGCGCAAAAAGGTATGTTTTGTGATAACGCGAATGGATTTATTGTGTGGTATACATTTCACTGAGCATCATGTGCCTTTTATAAGAAGCATCGAAGCGGCGCAGCCGAGCCAATTATATTCAGCGAACTTTTATATCTGGGTCTTATCTGACAGATTCACTATCCGAAACGAAGTTTCTTATGTTCAGCACACAAGGTGTTCTACATATAACTTTCTGTAAAGTTGAGATTTGCGCAGTTGGTTTCAGGTGAGCCAAGAGATCTTTTCATCCATACGACTGTTGAATAATTACTATCGCCTGAATAATACGCTGCACCGGTACGTTTTCCACGAAGACCCTGTGTTTTCTCGATGTAGACTGTTATTCATGTCTGTAGTCATGTGTTCTCCCGATCTAGACTGCTCTAATGTATGATGTGTGTTCTCTTGGTCATGACGTTTCTAATATCTGTTGTCATATGTTTTCTGGGTCTAAACGTTTTTAATGTTTAATGTCATGTGGTGTCTTGGTCTGATGTCTAGTTTTCTCTCGGTTTAGGCAGTCTAATGTCTTTTGTCATATGTTCTCTTGGTCCAGACATTTCTAATGCCTAATGTCATGTGTTCTCTTGGTCCAGACATTTCTAATGTCTAATGTCATGTGTTCTCTTGGTCCAGGCGTTTCTAATGTCTTATGTCTTGTGTTCTCTTGGTCCAGACATTTCTAATGTTTAATGTCATGTGTTCTCTTGGTCCAGGCGTTTCTAATGTCTTATGTCATGTGGTGTCTTGGTCCAGACGTTTCTAATGTCTGATGTCATGTGTTCTCTTGGTCCAGACATTTCTAATGTCTTATGTCATGTGTTCTCTTGGTCCAGACGTTTCTAATGTCTTTTGTCATGTGTTCTCTTGGTCCAGACGTTTCTAATGTCTTTTGTCATGTGTTCTCTTGGTCCAGACATTTCTAATGTCTTTTGTCATGTGTTCTCTTGGTCCAGACGTTTCTAATGTCTGATGTCATGTGTTCTCTTGGTCCAGACATTTCTAATGTCTTTTGTCATGTGTTCTCTTGGTCCAGACGTTTCTAATGTCTTATGTCATGTGTTCTCTTGGTCCAGACATTTCTAATGTCTTTTGTCGTGTGTTCTCTTGGTCCAGACGTTTCTAATGTCTGATGTCATGTGTTCTCTTGGTCCAGACGTTTCTAATGTCTTATGTCATGTGTTCGCTCGGTCCAGACATTTCTAATGTCTTTTGTCATGTGTTCTCTTGGTCCAGACGTTTCTAATGTCTTTTGTCATGTGTTCTCTTGGTCCAGACGTTTCTAATGTCTTTTGTCATGTGTTCTCTTGGTCCAGACGTTTCTAATGTCTTTTGTCATGTGTTCTCTTGGTCCAGACATTTCTAATGTCTAATGTCATGTGTTCTCTTGGTCCAGGTGTTTCTAATGTCTTATGTCATGTGTTCTCTTGGTCCAGACATTTCTAATGTCTTTTGTCATGTGTTCTCTTGGTCCAGACATTTCTAATGTCTAATGTCATGTGTTCTCTTGGTCCAGGTGTTCTAATGTTTAATGTCATGTGTTCTCTTGGTCCAGACATTTCTGATGTCTGATGTCTTATGTTCTCTCGGTTTAGGCAGTCCAATGTCTAATGTCATGTGTTCCCTTGGTCCAAACGCTTCTCATGTATGATGTCATGTGTTCTCTTGGTTTAGGCCGTTTCTAGAATCTATCGACTTGTGTTCCTTCTGTGTAGACAGCTCTAACGTCTGAAGTGTGGTGTGTCGGTCTAAACAGTTTCAGTAGGTTCAGCAATATTCCAAATATATGACGGCGGTCTGTAAATAAACGAGTCTTGACTAGACAACCAGTGATTGACATCATGAGCATCGATCTACGCATTTGGAATACGATGACGCGCATCAACCAAGTCAGCGAGCCTGACCACCCGATCCCGTTAGTCACCTTTTCCGACAAGCATGGTTTGCCGAAGACCTATTCTATCCCGGATCTTCACGGGTGAGTGGCTGTGGTATCATGTCCCTACTGAGTTTAAACTTTGCAACAGTTACTTACTACCGACCTGAACATGAACGCGAAGGACAATTGCAAAGACACATCATTAAACAGATTTAATCCTTAATGAAGCAACAGTATTGATCATGCGACCTTTGCGGGTTGGCACACTTCAGAATATTGTTGCCCACACGCTGCATGTTTCTCAATCTGTCATCAACAGATTGTCGGACCCATACCAACAAACACGTAACGCATAACGTCGATGATCGACGCCGCTCTGGAAGTGCAAGGGCAACAACTCCAGCCCAGGACGGATTAGTCAGAACGAAAGCATTATGATTTCGGTTGCAAGCAGCCCCTCAGACAAGGGACCAGTTGCAACAGATAACTGGTGTTAGAGTACATGTCCACTCGGTGCGAAATGGTCTGTACAGATGGCATTTGCGTGCACGGCGTCCACGTGTCATCCCACAACTTATACACGTCATTTGAATCAGAAGCGGCAGTGGAAAAGGGGAAAGTCAGCACTGGGATAATCGAAGTTGGGCTAATGTGATGTTTTCTCACGAATCGCGGTCCACTTCCATGATCGAAGGAATCGGGATTGGAGACTTCCTAGTGAGCGTTTTATGAACGTTAACGTCGTACAGCGTGGTCGTTGGGAGTGGTTTCATAATGATATGGTTGGGTACAACTACGAATGGCCGAACTGCGCTCTATCTTGTCCATGGCAGGTTTACAGGTTAATGCTTTCCAGACAACATCATTGTATCCCTCGTGGTGCCATTTGGACAACATGTTGGGCATCTTACAAGATGCCATGACCTTCACCCAGTCCTGACCTTTTCCCTATTGAACACATTGGCAGACGTGTACGTCAACGCCAAAATCATAACACTCTCAATGAACTTGGTATTGGTCTAACCGATGAGGGGGCGCGAATGGCCAAGTCGTCTAAGGCGCCGCGACTCGGTGTGCAGAGTTGCGTCCCTTGGGCACGCCAGAAACCTATAAATGTGGGTTCGAATCTCGGTTCGCCCCGATTATGTTTCTAGATTTTTCAGCACCATACCCGTGCTCGTGGGTTTCACCGAAGTGTTAAACGTCTGAGACCTGCATCACTTCGGGCTTTCCACCCACATTAAGCTGACACGCCGCAATATAACTGGAATAATGTTAAAAGCGGCGTTAAACCCAACTCACTCACTCTAACCGATGAGTGGAGTCAAGCTAAAATCGGTCGACTCATCAGAAGCATGCCTCGAAGAATTCGTTCATGTCTGGTCAACTGGGGTGATTTTACCTGATATTGGCTGCAAAATGCAAATTTCGAATTTGACCCCGACCTCTTTAATTAACGCTCTAGTGCGCCACCATCTCTTCACACCTACCATTAGAACTCATCAGAATCTGATCGCCTACTCCCCAGCAGATATGATCATATCATTTCCATTTGCCAATACAATACAGAAGATATGTCTTGATGATTCCCACTATCCCCTACTTTTTGGGCATTGTATATTCACCGTTCGACGCAATCCGGAATCCGAAAATGCTTTCACTACAGGGATACTTTTTTTAAATATTAAACTATAAGCATCTGGGGTATTTCCAAATGACGACATCCGATGAGCTCCGCCGTTCTTTTTGTCTGTTTGTTTAGGCTGAAGAAATTAATTAACATGCGACCTTTGTCGAAATCTTTATAAATCTTTACAGTTAACCAACCAGTGTTCAAAAATGCGTAAAGCAAATATTGCTTCCAGCCTCCAAATTTATTTAGCTGTCCTTGCAGACGGTAGCCCAGTCTCTGGTCACGCTCAGTTGCGTTGCGTATCATCCGGGTACTCACGGGGGAAAAAACAATAACAAAGGCAACAACCAGTCCGGGGAATTGCGTTAGAACAGTGCCCCTTTAATGTAGTATTGGTTTGTCGACAAGCGTAAGATTATTCTCCGTGTTGAATACAGGAGGGAGGCGAGGTGACACGGCCTTTTCTTGATTTGGAATGAAGTAATCTCATAAATCGTGTTTTAGATATTTATTAGGGTCTAAGCAAATTTATGTTTCTTTTAAAAATTCTTACATATTCACGATTAGAGCCAATACACGATCAAAGCGCAAAGACATACAAACAAAGAAATATAAAGTTAAAAATGAATGATTGACTGAGTGAGTATGGTTTCACGCAACATTTATGAGTATTCCAGCAATATTCCAGCAAGGAGGGGCACAGGAACACCGTAACACATTGTACCTGTGTGGGAAATCGAACTCGGGTCTTCGTCGCGACGAGCGAAGGCTTTATCCTCTAGACTAATTGATTTTATCTTTACAGGATAAAATGGTTTATTTCAGTTGGGCAATCCTGGGATAGGTGACGCATCATTTAATTTGTGCACTATAGTATTTATGTTGTGTTGCAGGCTAAGGGAGGTTACTCGGGTCTACAAGCTATAATTTTGCATTACAGGCCGGCTCCCATGAGATTATTCAGGTTATACATTAGTAGCATGGCAAAGGGAGATAACTGAAGTGAACCTTTAATGTGAAGGAATTCCCCTCTGCCTTTCGCTATCGGCGGTCATTACAGGCAAACTGTTTTTATTCTAATCATGTTACCTGCTTTACCAATGTGTTTGGATATTGTATGTTGTATGAAAAATTGTTCATACATTAATGAAGTCTTTTTTTACAGATGTTTGGATTGTAGGCTCATCATTTGTCTATTGGGCTCAGCGGCAGAGTTTCAGATTGAAATTAGGGAGGCATCTTGGCTTACATAAATTGGGGTTCACCTTAAGTTGGTTTGGCAAGAAAGGAATGCACTGGAGAGAGCTCAGACAGCTATTGCTGACCCAGCTTGAAAGGAAACCTCCTCCAAGTGTCATGATTCTCCACTTAGGTTCAAATGATCTGGTAAGCTCCCCTATTAGGAATTTGGTTCGCAGTGTCACAGAGGATGTCACATATTTTGCTAAGATACTTCCCTTCACAGTCTTTGTATGGTCTGAGTTACTGCCAC